TATATATATATATATTTGATTTTTGATTTGATTATATAAATATATAACCTTCTATTTTTGGTAAATAGAAAGTTGAGTAGGAAAAAAAAAAAAATGTTTTAATACAACAATGCAAAAGCTTGTTTATGTATGACAGTGACATTTTTGATCAGTTTATTTGCATCCTTGCTGAATAGAGATATTAATTTTTTTTTTACATAATATTGACACTAAACATTTCAACTGTTGTGTGTACGCTTTCATTTATGCATTTTTAATGAAATATTTTTTTATAAAGGTTTTCTTTCTTTTTCAGTGATATTTCAGTAGACGTTGAATGTCAAATGTATGCATCAAAAATCGAAATAGTTTCTATATTCCTCTCTTCTCTTCAGGGTGAGGCAGGAGCTGAAGGTCCACCAGGTAAAACTGGGCCAGTTGGCCCTCAGGGCCCTCCTGGAAAGCCTGGTCCTGAAGGTCTACGAGGAATCCCTGGTCCTGTGGTGGGTTCCCATGTCATTCATCACCTAACTATCCATCATTATACAAACACATATATACAGTGGCCCCAAATAGTATTTGGACACTTAAGAGGCACTTAAAGTACTGTGAAATTAATATCATAATGTATATATGATACCAAGTGGTGTCTGCAAATATATGATTTTTAACCTTTTCTCTAAACTTTCTCAAGCTCATGAATGTTAATTACGTGGCATGGTATTTTCCCAATAGTTCTAACTGATTACTACTCACCCATGCCAATGTTAGCGGCTTTTGCATGATCTTAAAATTGTCAGTGTACAAGGGCAGCTATGATTCTTTTCTTTACACTGCGGACAAGCAATGCAATGGAATTCATGCATTTTTAAGTGTGGCTTAAGTATTCAAATAATTTGTGCGGCCACTGAATAGCCTAAATGCACACACACAGGAACAGAATTGTATGAAACACCTCACAGAATAATAAATCACCTCTCTTTGAGTTTACAATCTGTGTCTTTCTCTTGTACAATCTGTATCTGTTTCTTGTCTATTTGAAAACACTTTTTGTAGTATATGGGCTATTAATCATTGTCCAGCCCACAGTAAATCAATGCCAGACCACAAGCAAAAAACAATGCAATAATGGCTGTTGTAATTTGGATGGATTTTCACAGGGTGAACAAGGACTTCCTGGTGCTCCTGGACAAGACGGCCCACCTGGACCAATGGTAAGAAAAGAGACCCCGTTGCCCTTGCTCGTTCTTTCTATCTACCTTTCATCCTCTCTCTCTTTTCTGTGTGTGTATGTGTGTGTGTACATGTGGGTATATGTGCGCAAATTGAATTCTCACTGTTGGTTCTTTGATATTTAGGGACCTCCTGGTCTCCCAGGCCTGAAAGGAGACCCCGGCTCTAAGGGTGAGAAGGTGAGTGACATTCTATTTCTTTTCCTGCCATTTTTATTAATGTGATGTCTTACATTTCAGAGAGGCTCAAGGTCAAAGATAAAGACTAGACTTGGTCACTCTAGGAAGCCAAAGGAAAAGTTTCACAGCCAGGGGAAAAGTTTCAATATAATATGCAGAAGTGTTCTTTTTTATTATTATTATTTTAAAAACCTTTTTATTTTAAGCATTATATACATTTAGGAATCCTCTTTGAATTCATTGCTGATTCTTAGATATTGAGTCATTAATTAAAAAATATATTTATATATTTATGTTTTGTTGTCTTTTAGTGTCACAAGTTGGAGTAAAATATATATATATATTTTTTTTTTTATTTTATTTTATTTTTTTTTCCATATTTAGCCATGTAAATGTATTTATTTATATAAAGTAAATAATATAATCATGACATTTTTCCAGTTATTTTATTTTTTACATTTTCGTGTTTTTGTCTGATTTATTTTTCATACTTAGCCATGAAAATTAATTTATGTATAAAATATTTAATGTATTGTTTAAATTTGTATTTTTTTTCCATGATTAGCATGAAACAATTTTTATTTATTCATATAATTTAAATAATATATCATGTAGTTATTTCTTTAGTTCATTTTTCCCAGTTAATTTAGTTTTTTTATTTTATTTTGTCTTTGTTTTATTTTCAGTTATTTTAGTTTTTTGTATTTTGTCTTTTTTTAATACTTTTTAATGATTAGTTTTTTTACATTCATTCATTAATTTTTATATTATTTTTTATTCTTATTTTTTTTACATTTTCTTTTTTCTTATTAATTTATAAAAACTTTGGTACAATGTGAATTCATTGTCTTTGATAATTTGGTTGTTGGGTCCAGGCTCTGTGCATAAAAAATTGCTGTCTCTACATTTTGCTTAAAAGTTGACCATCAGATCTTCTGACCTGTGACATCCACTATCATATGTGTTTTTCTTCCAGGGTCACCCCGGTCTTATCGGTCTCATCGGACCCCCCGGCGAGCAGGGAGAGAAGGGAGATCGGGGTTTGCCTGGTCCTCAGGGCACTGCTGGCAGCAAGGGTGATTCGGTCAGTCACTAATGATTTATTTGTCCTTTCCACCCCACCACACAACTAATGTCATACCTCCAGCAGCGCACCTATCAGGACTTCTCCTCCCGTAATGCTTGCAAATTAAAGTAACGACTGACTGAAACAATAACATCTGCACTTATTGCATCTGCGTACATCATCATAATCGTGTTATGGATGAAGCTGTCATGAAAGGTTCTCAGAGCCAGCGGTAATTCTATTACACCAGACGTTCCCATCAAACACCAGTGCGATTAAATTTTTTCACAGTCAAACTGTGAAATGTTTGTTTTTCTTTGCCTCATTGAAGAACCATACAACACCTATCCAATGCAGTCAAACGCTTCAGTAAATATATAGAAAACCTGTAAAAGTTGATGGAATAAACAATTAGAAATTGCATTGATCCGCCTTTTTCAGTGGTTTAAAGCAATGCAACTTTAAATGTATTCTGGTTAAGCTTAATGAAATTGTAGTCTCCCCTTCTGTGAGTTTGAAAAAAATGAAAACGATCCCATTTCACTAATGTTTCCCACTAGACTTGCGATCTGTTGCTGCGTTTAGTAACAGAGGCTGCATTTCTCCCCACAGAATTAACTCAAAAGTCCTTGACTCTAATGGAGTGTAATGATCAGTGTGTAATACACACCAGAGGATTATGATTAGCAAGAGTTATTTTCACCTCTGTGACAAACGAATTGCAATTTTAAAGACAATTCTTTGAGAGAAAATGAATCTCATCTTTACAAATGAATCACATGAAGTGCTTTCTAACCAGCTGCTCTTTAAACTGTAGGGTATCAGTGGTGCTTCTGGTCCGTTTGGTCCACCTGGTCCTCCTGGATTGCCTGTGAGTCTTTGCTCTGTTGCTGGCATCTTGCATTCAGTGTTGTGCTGTCGTCAGATTGAACAGTTTCTGAAATTGTTGTCACGTGATCTATTTAAACCATTAAAATAAAAGAGCTATCAGATATGTTAAAATTAAGACAGCATGAAAAGTCATACGTTTTAAATACATCAGATTATTCGTAAAATTGTAATTTTGAACTGCCCCACCTCAACAGTCTTGCCAATATTGAATGTTTTCATCTTTAAAATGTATACAAGTTTCAGAATTTTGACATACACTATCGTTCAAATGTTTGGCATCAGTAAGATTTAATTTTTATTTACCAAGGACACATTCAGTTGAGTAAAAGTGACTGTAAAGGCATTTATAATGTTACAAACGATTATATTTCAAACAAATTCTGTTGTTTTGAACTTGCTATTCATGAAGAAATCCTTAAAATTATTAGAATGATTTCTGAAGGATCATGTGACACTGAAGACTGCTGAAAATTCAGCTTTGCCATCACAGGAATAAATGAAATTATTTCAAATAAATTAGAAAAGTTATTTTTAATTGTGATTATATTTAACAATATTTCTGTTTTTACTGTATTTTTAATAAATGCCTTGGTGAGCGTAAGAGACTTCTTTCAAAAATAGTTAAAAATCATACAGACTTCAAACTTTGGAACGGTAGTGTGAATTGATATTTCATTTTGGAACAAATAGAACAATTTTTAAATAAATGATCTGATTCTTTTCAAATTCTACACAAATTGTAATTGTAACTATATTTGGCTGGCTCAACACTTATATATACTTTTATAACACTTTTATATACTTTTTTCAACACTTTTATAAGTCAGTGTTCACAGAATGCATTTTCATTTTTCTTTAGGGTCCACAAGGGCCAAAGGGATCCAAGGGTTCGACTGTAAGTACCACTTTATCACCAATCAATTCAAAGGGCTTGTTATAATGATAATAAGAAAAGGGCTTATGATTTTTAAATGTTCTTCCTGCAGGGTACTGCTGGTCAAAAGGGAGACACTGGCTCATCTGGACCTCCTGGTCCTCCTGTAAGTGAACTTCTGCCCGCTTCAAGGAGATTTTAATTATATAAAATGCAAAAGGCTCATGGAGCGTACACTCATTTTCTCATTCCGTAGGGGCCTCCTGGTGAGATCATCCAGCCTCTGCCTATCCAGATGCCCAAGAAGTCCCGTCGCTCCATCGACATGCAAGCGGACGAGGCCGGCACCATGCTGGACTACGGAGAGGGCATGGAAGATATCTTCAGCTCCTTGAATAACCTCAAACAGGACATCGAGCGCATGAAGTACCCCATGGGCACGCAAAACAACCCCACACGAAGCTGTAAAGACCTACAGCTCGCTCACCCAGAATTCCCAGATGGTAAGCAAACGTGGTGGGGGGTAAAGGAGACGCTGTCGAACAGATAAATCAGGAAAACATGCAGCGTTTGCTGGTTTCCAAGCTACTCAGTAGGTATTGGCTGTGCTTCTAAAATTCTAAGCCTGTCACTCAGGAGGATTTGAATAACAGCAGCAGCAGTCGACGGCTGATTGGGAAGATGTTTAGCATTCTGCGGACTCCAGCGAGAGCTAACCTCTCCCTCCCAAATCATGGCTTACAAAATGCCAGCTCTTACACTGACCTTTCAGAGCTGGTTTTACCGCACTCGAATTAGCCTGCTATTTTTTTTACACAATGAATCGCCACTGCTGATGTCCGTGAAGTGTGTGATTTTAGCTGCGGAAATTAATAGAAAGCCAGGCAGAGATGCGAGGATATCTTTGTGTATGATCTAAATGATTTCCTACTGTACCTGTGGTCATTCTAGATAATGATGTCTGATGGGTTTTTTTCTCTCAGGTGAATACTACATCGATCCCAACCAGGGATGCTCCGGGGACTCCTTCAAAGTGTACTGCAACTTCACAGCGGGAGGCGAGACCTGCATCTTCCCTGATAAAAAGTCAAATGGAGTGAGTGGCATTCTGAAACCCCCTAAGGATGAACTGGCCAATAACAGTCACATACAATGGGTTTTCTCCTAAAGACCATAGGAGTGTTTGAATCAGTCACTTCAAAGAGATGTTTTTAGCGTGATTGTTAGTTTTTGGAGGTGTAGATCCAAACACATCGTTCCCCTTAAAGGGTGATTCTTATGACATTATCCAGGTCACTTTCACCTCAAGAAAGAAAGAAAGGAAGGAAGGAAGGAGAGAGGGAGGAATTCCTTTGAAAATAATACCACAACAGTAAAACACCTTAATGAATTTAGGATTTTATATATATATATATATATATATATATATATATATATATATATATATATATATATACAGTATATATACATATTAGGGGATTAGGGGTACACAAACATCACAGTACGGTACGAACTAAACATAATTGCTTTTTTTTTTGGTTTACTGAACAAATTGCTCTTTCTTTAAATAAATTCAATTATAATTAAAATTTTCGTAGGGATAAAAATCTACCTTTTACATTACTATAAGGTTACAATTAACAACAGAGCCCAAACTTAAATTCAATGACTATTTATTTTTAACTATAATAATCAACACTCAAATTAAAAAGTTGTATGCAAACATGTTTTTAAATTAACTTCTAAATTATACAATTTCTATTTGTTGAAATATAATAATTTACAGTCCTAACTTGTTTCATAAAATATTTATTTAAACATATACGTTACATAATTAAGACATCACTTACAGGTAAAGTAAAAATGATCAAGTATAGTCTAATATTTCGCAAAATGCTCTTCACTAGACGTCATTCTCTAGCAAATAACGAGCTGTAGACACTGATGACTTGCCTGAGGTAAACGAAACTCTACGTGACGTTTTGTTTACAAGCTGTTTTAATGACATATTTCCGTGGTTGAAACACTGATTGAGCGATTACGTGAGGGGTGAGATGTTCATTCATGTATATTTCACGTTAAAACTAGTAATAAAGAAGGAGTGAACTAGTCTAGAACTGTGGCGTTAGTATACGGCGATATATATTTTGTCTATGGAGTGAAATATGACCTAGATATGTTTTTGAGAGATTTTGGGAGATTAATTTAAAACGTAAATATGCACTCATACAACAGAATTTTTTTTTTGCATTAGTTTAAATGTTTTGTCTTTGCAACAGCTAGTTATCTTCAGATGCGAAAAATCATGACTTTTTTTTATAAAATCAAATTTGAGTGGAAACCTCATTCTCAACATTAAAATAATCTGCTTTTCTCATGCTTTGTTAAACAAAGCCGTATATTTCAGTGAGATGGTTTTTCATTTCATTCCAATTGTTGGACCAGATGCTGTATGAAAAATAGCTGGGTTTAATTTTATTTCATTTTCTGCTAAAGTAAATTTGCTGTTCATTTTAAACTATGCGCACAGCTGGTCTTTTGCCATTATGTTTTTTTTTCACATTTATCTTTGTGTCGTCTTTAAGGTGAGAATATCTTCATGGCCCAAAGAGGTTCCTGGCTCCTGGTTCAGTGAATTTAAGCGTGGCAAAATAGTAAGTGCACTCTCTCATTCTTCTTTCATCTTCTCCTTTATGAAAAACACCATCTTGTCCTTCGAAAACTTAAAGGACCTGAGTGGTCTGCTTGGTCTTTTTTCTTTACTCAACCAATGGACAGACACCATAAGAGCACAGCTTTTAAAAGATGCTGTCACTGCAGCCCTGGATCCATCAACAAGCCGAGCACACCCACAAACACACATACTCACCGCATTTATATTTGATGCTGTTGAGAGTTATAAAGGCGCCGCTGCACCTCTGTGAAACATGCTGGCATTATGTTTCTGGTGTCTGTTCAGACTGTTTTCTACTTTGTCAGAAGAAATGGTTTTTCTATTATTCAGAGTTCCAACTTTACCAGTTTTAAATCAATGTATTGGTGTCTTTTTTCTATTATTCAGAGTTCCAAATTTGCCATTGAAAACCAGTGACTTGCTTTAACGTTAATACCTAATGATTTTTTCCTCATCTTATAAGAAATGATTATGAATAAAATGGCAACTTATTAACACAAAAAGATAAGCCTAGACAAAAATGATATTATATTATATTATATTATATTATATTATATTATATTATATTATATTATATTATATTATATTTATTATATTATATTTAGTGCTGTCAAACGATTAATCGCATCCAAAATAAAAGGTTTTTTTGCATAATATATGTGTGTGTTGTGCATATTTATAATGCATATATAAATACACACACATACAGTATATATTTTGAAAATATTTACATGCATTTTCATTTCTATATTTATATTCATATAATTTATATTATAAATAAATATATTACAATAAAATTTTTCTGAAATATATACATGCATGTGTGTGTATTTATATATACATAATAAATATACACATACATATATTATGTAAGCAAAAACTTTCATTATGGATGTGATTAATCACGATTAATCATTTGACAGTACTAATTATATTATATTATATTTATTTTATTTATTATATTGCATTGTAAAAAAAAAAAAAGAAAAAAAGAGGGATAAGTAAAATAATATCCCACTTGGTTTTGATTAAGTCAGAGAAAATTAAAAATGTACTTATTAATAAAATGTAAAATATTTAAAAAGGGAAAATAAGAGTCTATTTTAATAACTTATTATAACTTATAAATATATTCATCTATATACATATGTTCCTCTTTTTAAATAGTTGTATAATGTCCAGCTATTATTGCAGATTTAAAACCTTAAACATTTAAAACAAAACAAAAAATATTTTTTGTAAAGAATAATTAGTGCTGAATAAAAATAAATAAATAATAACATTATTATTATTATTATTATTACTACTACTGCTACTACTCTTTAAACTGTTCCACATATATATATATATA